GTGCTTTTGTCCTTTCCTTGTTGGAGAAAATAAAAGACGGTGGCGACTCTTGCTTCCGTGACATTTCGCGAACCAGCGTTAAACAGTCATTTCCAGATCCACCGATCACAGTTATGTCTGAGAGGAATGTTACAGTGATTACTAGTACTCTTAATGTTAATGGTCCTTTCAATGAGTTCATCGCGGCGAGAGGAATTTTTCCGATTTACTTGAGTTTGGATCATAGGTTTCCATTTGTTCAATCTAGTATTCAACTTAGTAATAGTAAAATTTAACACAAATCATGAATCTTCGAATGAGTTCACAACTAAGCTAATGTCTCTAAAATTGTAACATTGGCGATCATTGATTGAATATGTTATAGGACCACAACAGTAACATGAACTAGGCCTCTAAGGTTGGACCACATTTGTGGCTATGCTCCTTTCACTCACATGTTACAATCCTCATTTCTAGAATTGTTCTAATCACATGTTTGATTTTTGTTGACAACACACACTCTTTAAATTCATTGTACTCCCACCATATTGCTTATAATCCAAGTTAGTAATAATCAACACAAGAGGTTCACGTAACAATGACATATTCACTTGAATAATAAAATCCGTGTATACTTTGTGTTTTAGCAGAAACGCATTATACCGTTTTGTGCCCTAATTAGTGTTTTTGTTTAACTTAGATAATAGTTAAAACCATGGATAAAAAATGGACGTGTGTCGATCGATTGTCAAAAGAGTACGAGAATGGGGTATTAGAGTTCGTTAAGTTTGTTGTTGAACATGCTGAAGACCCGAATAGAATGAAGTGTCCTTGCTTGGGTTGTTGTTATGTGGGTCGGGTTGACGCAGATGGATTGAAATCGCATTTACTAATGCGCAGAATTGATCGAAGTTATACGTGTTGGATATTTCATGGTGAGAAAAGCATCGAGAATGTTGAACCGGGGGTGAAAAGTAATGCGACCTATGTTTCGTACGACAATGCCACAGATACATATGATTATGATCGAGTCGAAGAGATTGCAGAAGCACTTGAAGAAGATCTTCAAGATTGTCCCAAAATGTTTGAGGGGTTGGTAAGCGATACGGAGAAACTGTTGTATAAAGATTGCCCCAAATTCACAAGATTTTGTGGTATTAAAATTGTACAACTTAAAGGCGCACAATGGATGGTCGGATAAAAGTTTCACACAGTTATTAGCCCTTTTTAGAGATATGCTTCCTGAGGATAATGTTCTTCCTAATCTAACCTACGAGGCCAAAAAATGTTGTGCTCTATTGGCATGAGCTATGATAAGATACATGCATGTCTAAATGATTGTATTTTGTTTCGAAACGAATATGCATCGTTGAATGAGTGCCCAAAGTGCAGTTTATCTCGATATAAGAAAAAATTATCTCCAGCGAAAGTCTTATGGTATTTTCCTATTATTCCGAGATTTAGAAGCATGTTTCATAGTGAAAGCGATGCTAGACACTTGACTTGGCATGCAGATGAAAGAATTATCGATGGAAAGTTTCGACATCTGGCAGATGCACCACAGTGGAAGAAAATTGATAATGATTATCCTGATTTTGGAGGAGAAACAAGAAACCTTCGCTTGGCATTATCTACGGATGGAATGAACCCGCATGGTCTTCAAAGCATCTCACATTCCACATGGCCTGTAATTCTTATGATTTATAACCTACCTCTATGGCTATGTATGAAGCGCAAGTACATGATGTTATCTATGTTAATTTCTGGGCCTAAACAACCAGGGAATGACATAGATGTATACTTGAAACCTTTAATCGAAGATTTGAAGATTTTGTGGGAGAACGGTGTGGAGGTTTATGATGGATATAGGAAAGAAAGTTTCAATTTGAGGGCGATGTTGTTTGGCATAATTAACGATTTTCCAGCATATGGAAATCTATCCGGGTATTGCATTAAAGGTGAAAAAGCGTGTCCTGTCTGTTCAGATGGAATCGATACGGCACAATTGAAACTTTGTCAGAAGAATGTCTTTCTCGGTCATCGTAGATTCTTAAATTCAAAACATCAATATCGTGGATGGAGAAAAGCGTTCAGTGGAAATACCAAACAACGTAGAGCTCCACCTGGATTGACAGGTGATCAAATTTATGAAAAGGTGAAAGATGTGAGTATTCAGTTTGGCAAGTCTTTTGCACATAAAGTTGTCACAGGTGGGTGGAAGAAGAGGTCAATTTTTTTTGAATTGCCATATTGGAAATCTTTGTACGTAAGACATTTTCTTGATGTTATGCTTATTGAAAAAAATGTATTTGAAAGTGTTATTGGTACGTTACTCAATATAAAAGGAAAGTCTAAGGATGACCTTAAAGCAAGAGAGGACATGGTAGAGATGGGAATAAGAACTGAATTAGGACCCGTGAAGAAAGGAAGACGAACATATCTACCACATGCTGCTTATACTCTATTTAGAAAGGAAAATAAAATATTCTGTAAGTTTCTGAGTGAAGTTAAAGTTCCATAAGGTTACTCCTTAGACATTAGAAGACTCGTGTCCATGAAAGACCTCAAGTTAAAGAGTCTGAAGACACATGATTGCCATGTCATAATGGAACATTTTCTACCAATAGGTATACGTTCTATAATGGAGCATTTGTGCTCAGTTTATTTATGTCCAACAAAGATACAGAAAAATTGTTCTTTTTAGCATATAATACTGGCCCCAAGTAAGATTTTCATTCTAAATTTCCTCTATTATAATTTTTCGTTTTTTAACGTTGTGCAGAAAATTTCCATCTAACCTTTGTTTAATATTCCAGTGGACACTGGTTATTGGTTGCAATTAATCATGTGAGAGAAATTGTATATTATCTGGATTCATTGGGCAATGATTGGACAACATACCCAGATATGAAGAAGACGATTGACACGTAAGTGAGATTGTTCCAAAATATTACTGTGTATATTTAATTATTTATGTGCGATAGTTATAAATATTCGTTATTATTTTATTATAGCATTCTACAAAGTTTTCGAGCATAAAGAGATATTCAAGTACCAAGGAGTAGAGTCAACAATATTTCTTGGATCAAAGTGGAGGTATAGATTTTCACAATTTTGATTATATAGCGATGATACTTGATAAAACAAGTTAAGGTGTATATCTTGATGTATATCCGTATTTTCTTTCCATGTGTAGTGTCCTCGTCAGCGCAATGGTGTAGATTGCAGTTATTTTATGTTGAGGTTTATGAAAGAAACTATTCTTTTTGACCGATTAGAGATTCCATCCACGATATGAATTTCTAACTTAGGAATTATTTTCATATTTCTCATAAAATGACTTAGTATTTTAATTAAATCATACTATGTTATATTATTATGTAGTACTTTGATGAATTCAAGTGTGCTTCATACTCAAAAGATCAATTGGATGAACTTATGGAGGATTGATGCCAATTTGTTATGGAGTTGAGAGATTTATTATAAGATATAACTTTGAATTTTGAGAATATAATATATGTCGTTATAGTTGTGTTACAATATTATTGTTTTTGTTGTTGTTATTTGGTAACTTGTATGAATTTTGATTTTTTGATTTTGTTTTAGGTTATATAGGTGAAGCTCGATGTAGAAGATAGAGTTATTTTGTAATTCATTGTTGATTTTGTTTCATTGTTGTATATACTAATCTTGTTGTTGTGTATATTGTGCAAAAAGGATTGAAGAGATGAATATTGATGTTGTTATAATATTGTTTCATTGTGGTATATACTAATGTTGTTGTGTATATTATGCAAAAAGGATTGAAGAGGTGAATATTGATGTTGTTATAATATTGTTTCATTGTGGTATATTAATGTTGTTGTTGTTTAAAATGTTATAATGAAGCTATAAATTCTGGTGCAAAAATGGTGAGATTAAATTTGATAGGCAACGTTTTGTTTTAAATGGAAAAAAAATTATATTTAAAAAAATAATAAGGAAAAGCGCTGCTAAAGGGGGGGAATAGACAGCGCTTTTAATGAGAAGCGCTGTCTAAAGTGTTAGAAAAAAATTATATTAAAAAAATAATAAGGAAAAGCGCTGCTAAAGGAGGGGGAATAGACAGCGCTTTTAATGAAAGCGTTGTCTGAAGTGATTGAAAAAAATATATATTAAAAAATAATAAGGAAAAGCGCTGCTAAAGGGGGAGAATAGACAACGTTTTTACCAAGCACTGTCTAAAGTTCCACATTAAAAGCGCTGTCTAAAGTGTAAGCGCTGCTAAAGGGGCTGCTAAAGAGGATACCTTTAGCAGCGCTTTTGAAATTACATAAGCGCTGTCTATACCTTTAACAGTGGAGGTTTTAGCAGCGCTTTTAAGCGCTGTTAAAGGCCTAAAAAAGCGCTGTTTAATCCCTTGTTTGGCATAGTGTGATGTATAATTGAATATAAGTAAAAATAAATAAATTATAATATCAATGCAAGATAATTATATACCATGACTTATTTTTTATAATTATAAACTAATGATATTAAAAATCAATAACAATAAATAAGAAAAAAATGAGGAAAAAATATATTTACAAAGTAAACAAGACTATATGTCTTTTTTTTATGAGGAAAATGAAACTTGATGTTGATGTATCTAAATCTAATATTGTAAAAACCAATAACTATATAATAACAAGAAAGAAACATAATAAATAACATTCTTCAAACGTATCCATGTTTTCTATAAATAATACTATCAACAATTAGTTTTATAAGTTTTAATATGTTTTAAATTACTAATTTTGTTGAGGTAACAAACGTAAAAATGGCGAAGATAGAATATGTAAACGACAATGCAACAAAAAACCTTAAGAAAAGAAACAAAAATATACCCAACCTACATTTTCTATTAAGTATTTATATATTGTTCTCATTTTCATGCTTATACCTATGAACTAATTCATACATGTTCTAAACACTAAAGCATAGAATAAGTGTCAAGAAAAAAAATTAAAAAATTCTATAAATTTATATATATATATTTTTTAATGGATGTTATTGTGGATACCCTAGAACAACCCCTATTGGAAAATGCACCACGAAAAATTTCCAAAACATCAACACAAAAAACAATAAGAAGAGCATTCAAATGCACGTCAAATTTATCTAATCTTCTCCCAACTGGAACAGTTCTAATATTCCAAACTTTGTCACCGATTTTATCACATAGAGGACAATGCCATACAGAAACAAGCAAAATCTTGACAGTGTGTCTATTAACATTTTGTAGTCTCTCGTGTTTTCTTTTATCATTCACTGATAGTTTAAGGGATGAAAGAGGAAAGGTTAGATATGGTGTTGCTACATTAAATGGTATTTGGGTTATGGATGGATCAATTAAGCTTACGATTGAAGAGGCAAGGAACTATAAGCTAAGTATCATTGATTTGTTTCATGCATGTGGGTCTATCTTAGTTTTTGGTGCAATTGCACTTTTTGATCAAAGTATTGTATCATGCTTGGCTCCAAAGCCTTCTGAGGATGCCAAAGAGATTTTGGAAGCATTGCCTATTTGGATTGGAGTTCTGTGTAGCCTTTTGTTTTTTATATTTCCTACACAAAGACATGGTATTGGTTTCCCTCTCTCACGTGATTAATTAGTTCTTTGCATTCATTTTAAATTACATTGAAAAGTAACCATCAAAATTTCCTTTAGTGAAAATTTCTAATATATATTAAATTGCTTTCTATCATCATTAGTGATAGATAAATGATTGGGTTGATTTGATACCTATTTTTAATATTTTTAAAATATATTATAATAATGAATCTGAATAACTTCACATGGGTCTCTCTATCCATCACACATTTAACACATGGGATGCAAAATGAAGAATAATAGTTTTAGGTACAAGTTTTTAAAATCTAGGGGTTCAGTTGCACCCTCTCAATTATGAGTTGGCATGTCCCTAGTTGCATAAATACGATATAACATTATGGGAACCACTTGATAAAGTTTATGAAACTCATAATAAATTCCTTAAAAAATAACCATTTGAGATGCTCTACGTTGATTATCTTTTTGTTGTATACGTAGGATTCTATAAGTTTTAAAATGATTTTCAAATGTATAAAAAAATAATGGAACCTACTAAATATAATATGGTTATATTACATTCTAAAAACTTTGGTAAATAAAATAAAAAAAATAAAAAATGAAGAGGATGTTGATTCGTATCGTGTTTGTAACCCATTTTTTAATTCATATGACTTATTTTAAAGATAAACTGGATTAACTTAAATAAACATACAAATAAAATATATTAGTTAAAAATAAATAATTTATTTAAAAAAATTAAATTAACAACTAAAAAATTATAGATAAAAAATAGAATATATTTTTTAGTTAGCTTATAATTTAATAGTAATATACTAAATTATACAAGATAAAATCTAAATAGTTTATGCATAAATTATCTTAATAAATAAAAAAGAGATAAAATGAAGAAGAAAAATAAAACCAATTTAATTTAAATATATAACTTAATTTATAATTTAATAGTAACAATATATTAGATAAATACAAATTTTGTAACGACCTTAAATAACTAAGTGTGAAAATAAGGATAATTAGTAACATAAATCTAAACCTTAATCCCTAGTTAGATATGAGTGGTTTGATTAATAACTTCTAATAAGTGACAAAGGCAATATGTCTTGTTTTCATGTATTTTTGTCTTGAATTAGGGTTATCTAGTTGTTGATTTTAAGTCTTGTCATACAAACCCTAATTACTAACAATTATATTGAAAACGATAAATTGCGGAAATGTAAAATCCTACGCTATTACAAAGCTTCGGAAATGGGAGGTACAAATTTACAAATGGGGGGTGAAAGCAATTAAAACCTAATTACTATTACAACCATATTGAATAATGAATAACAATAAAAATATAAAGAAATATAAAGATAATGTAAAAAAAGGGAAATTGTTTAAAATAAACTTTTTTGTATTGACACATGAGCTTATGCATTGATACAAAACCTTTATGTATTGACGCATACACTTATGCATTGATACGAAAACTTTATGTATTGACACATGCACTTATGTATTGATATGAAAACCTTTCTTGCTTCTGAAAAATGAAATTAACTCAGTATGAGTCGATGCATGCACTTACGTATCGACAAATATCTCTTCTTATTTCTATAAAATGAAAATTAACTCAGTATGCGTCAACACATTCACATTTCGTATCGACTCATACAACAGTTCGTATCGATGCATAATGGTACACATCGACTCATAACCTGTTTTGTACATAATATGTGTCAACTCATAGTGTTTCGTATCGACTCATACTGCTATTTTTTACTTGTAACATTGTTCTGTTGCATATATGGGTCAGTTCTCAACATAGGGTTAGTGAAAATGAAAAGTAAGCATATGGTTAGCTTCAAGGAAATGATATTTACATTTTATCTTCACAAATGAACCACTAATGATGTTTGTATGAAGAGTTCAAAGTCAAGAAAACTTACCTTGAAACTGAAATTTGTGTTTTGATTTTAAGTTGGAGAAGTCAAGTTGCAGGTGGCTGTTTTTTAGTTTGGAAAAATAGTAATGTTACAAAAGTTATTCTTGAGTTTGAACAACTTCTATATTATGTATGTGGGGTTTTTGGATGGTTTGTTTGGACAGAACTTGCAAGGTGTGAGAGGTTCAAAGATTTGGACTTCAAAACTAAAGAGTAGAGGTTTTATGGACAACTATGTTTTTTTGTGAGTAAAGGGGCTTTTGAGGATTTTCAACACACAAGAATATCTTTATTTTTGTGGCCTCTTTCTTTTGCAAATGCTTCCTCTATTTATAGGCAAGAGGCTTGGGAATAAGAGCTGATTAAGTTTGCAAGACAACATGTTATGGTTTGGTTGGGATGCAAATATCAAACTATGGCAAGTATTCCATGGTCCCAAGATGAAGTATCAAAGTTGATGGTATAAATGAGCTACCTTCCATAATTTATGGTGAAGTATAATCAGAAGCAAATAAGGTATGGGCTCAAGACAAATTTTGTACCAACAAGCTTACTTTTCAAGAATAGTAAAGGTAACTTTATGCCATAAATGGAAAGATCTTTTGGACAATGGCTCAAACACTTGGGTAATAGTTCAAGCTTTTGTGTAAACATTAAAGTATGGAGATATTTTGAAGCAATATGGCCTACAACATAATATTATGCAACATAGAATATAGATTGGATCATGTGTTCTTCACCAAAAAGACTTGTAATTCAAGGATGGATGCCCAACTTCATGCCCTTGAATCTCCTAGCTCAAGTATGATAAATTCATGTTCTTGGATGTTTGGGAAAACTTGAAACATCATCTATAACTTTCATGTTGGCCATTTTGAAAAAATCATCTTAGAACTATGTGAAAAAATACCAAGAAATTGGGATAAAATCCTGACCAAAATCTGTTGAAAATTTCTAAGTGTTAGATGAAAATGTCATGACTTCAGGAATTTATAACTCAAAATCCAAGCACTTATAGGACTTGATCAACAAAGCAAAGTTATAAATATCATCAAGATCTACAACTTTCATGTTGGAAGTTTTCTTTGAATCATCTTGCATCTTAGTGAAAGATTGGCATGAGGTTATGAAATTATCTTGTATGAAAACACATAGAAAAATTTCTAAGTCTTGGAAAGTTTGACTTTTCAAATTGACTTTTGACATTCTTGATTTGTTGATGATCAAGCTTGATATTCTTGAATGTATTTATGAATTTTGATCTTTGAAACTTAATATTGACCAAAAATTCAAAGTTTGACTTTTGGTGTATCAGTTGACTTTTTCATCTGTTGACCAAATTTCATCTATCAATCCAATGATCTTGAGAAATGTTTTGAGCCATGAAATTAGGTCAAAATGATGTACTTTGTAGGGATTCTGTGGGGATAACCTTATAGAGGTGGCTCTGGAGAATTCACTGGGGATCACCTTATAAATGGGGACTTTGTAGGGATTTGTCACTACCCATAGTAGTAAGTAGTACTTCCAGAAAATGTTTGCTTGGTCATATGTGACCCTTTACTAGAATTCATGTCGAATGCCCTAAGTGATTCCGGTGGAGACCCGCCCTTGGCTATTCAGGATTTTATGAGAGATTTCTTGGAATCTTGACTTGACTGCCATTGATGAGTTGGACAATAACATGTCATGCCCCCTTGATTATGGGAGATTTGTCATTGGAAGTGTCTTCCCATTTGAAGTGATTCTGTTTCTTAAGAGAATTTATGTTTATTGGATATTCGTCGTGCGAATTTCTCTGTTGTCGATCAATTGGCTATATGCAAACAACGATATTCAAATAATGCAAAGTTTATGCTTGTCTTGAAGTTTTTGAAAATGAAATTTTAGCAAATCAAAGAATTTTGTAAGAATATGAATTCAACTCAGGATTTATAGTAAGCCTTACAGGAGTCAGGATACCTTTTGTAACAATATGCTTTCGAACTAACCCATGCTTCAATTAGGACTTTTAAGGGGTTGTAACATGGCATGGTTCATGGTTTAAGAAACAAAGGATAAGGCTCAAAGTTTATTTGTACCCAACAATTTCCCCATGATGTTCTTCAGCCCTATACTCAGTTAATTGTGCATTTATCTCCCAATAGAATCTGGAATGATCTTTTGGTGATGGTTCAGATACTGGAAGTTTATTTGAGAAGGCAGTCAATTTTGCAACATTTTTCTATTGTTGAGGATTTGTAACATCTTCTTTTTGATTTATTATCCCTAATTTTTGTCTGACTGTTTTTTGTTTTGAGACTACAATCAGCGGGATGCTCTAATTTTTCTTAAGTCTTCTTCGTAGGTTTTGACTCAGTGGGCTTTTCTTTTGAGAGATAACGACTACCTATTTTACAGGGAACCATCACCGTCTTTTGATTCAGAAGGATGTTTTTGATGTCATTCATTATGTATGAAGTGAAAGCTTGCGACTGGACGTGTATTTGAATTAACTGAGAAACTACCCTGCCCCAGGTTATGATTAAAGGTTTCAATTCGTGCGAAAAAGAAAACTCCTACTTTTTTTGGCTCAAAGGGGTTGACTAGGGATTATATTCCTTATAACTCCACTATTTTAGGAATTGAAATAACACATGTACATCGTCAGCAAGGTCTGTCCAAAAACATATTGTATGAGATTATGGTATTGTTTTCGTCATCCTCCCTTTAAAGGCTTACAAATTTTAACGAGAGTTGAATATCATAAAAGGGAGTAAAAAGAACTGTTTAAATATAGTGAAAACGAATGGAATAATTTAAGAAAAACATGTGCAATGCATTAATGAAACAAAGTTTGACATAATAGATAAGTCTTCGAACAAACAAAAGAAATTACAATTAAAAGTTCAAAATGAACTGGACGCTCTCAATGATTTGGCATGGGAGCAGTGATCACGTTGAGAGTCTCAGGAGGGACGAATTCAATCTCCTTGGCGTCAATCATATTTTGAATCTTGTATTTCAGTGCCCAACAATCATTAGTATCATGCCCAGGACTGCCAGAATGATAGGAACATCTTACATCAGGATTGTAGTTAGGAGAAGAAGTTTTGGGGTTTGGATGAGGTTCTATC